CAGCTTGACTTTAATTTGTTATCTGCTTTTGTGGTCTCACAAATGCAGTTACTTTGTACTTAGGTTTTCTGTGAACGGGAGCAGCACATACAATTTCCTTTGTATTCAATCCACCGAAGCTGAAAGTAATTGTTGCCAAGCTGGTTTTTCCTAAGGTTTGTAGAACTCATAGTGAAAGGCTGTGAATATGGCCATATTATATATTTTTACAAGTAAATTCAAAGTTACCCTAAAGAGAAGATAGAAAGCGTCTTTTGAGAGCTATCTGCCTTGCATGATAATCTCTCTATCTGCTGGAACTGTGTCAAGAAACAGAAGTGAAGCTGTTTTCTACATTCAAATCGCTCCCAGCAGCAGTCAAGAAGTCAAACAGCATATTGCATTAGGCAAATCTACTGCACAATACCTTTTTAAAGTATTGAAGAGCAAAGATGTCAACTTGAGGACTAAGGTGCGCCTGACCCAAGCCATGGTATTTTCAATAACCTCATATGCATGTGAAAGCTGGACAGTGAATAAAATAAGGAAGACTGTAGAAGAATTGATGCATTTGAGTTATGGTGTTGGAGGAGAATTTTTGAAAGTGTCATTGGCTGCCAAAAGACCCAACAGATCTACGTTGGAAGAAGTGCAGTCAGAATGCTCCTTAGAGGTCAGGATGGCCAAACTTTGTCTTTCATACTTCAGACATATTGTTAGGAGAGACCAATTGCTGGAGAAGGATATCATGTTTTGTAAAGTGGAGGGTCATAGAAAAAGAGGAAGACCCCCAGCAATATGAACTGGCAAAATGGCAGCATCAGCGGGCTCAAGTGTGGCAACAATTGTGAGATGGCCCAGGACTGGGCAGAGTTTCGTTTTGTTGTGCATAGAGTTGCTATGAGTTGGTACCAACTCGAAGACACCTAACAACAACAACCATATGAATCCTGGTGTGGTGCTGTTGGATAAACACTGGACTGCTCACTGCAAAGCCAGCAGTTCAAATCTACCTGCAACTCCTTGGATACCCTATACAGGGTGCTGTGAGTTGGCACTTACTACTACCACCACCATGCATATGGAGTCCTGGTGTGTTGTAGGATAAGCACTGGACTGCTAATTGAAAAGTCAAGCGGCTCTAATTTGTCATTTTAGAGGGTCTCAAGGGAGCCCTGGTAGCATAGTGAGTTATGTGTTGGGCTCCTAACTTCAGGGTCAGAAGTTTGAATACACCAGCTGCTCCTCAGAATAAAGATGAGGCTTTCTGCCTACCATAAAAATTTATATCCTAAGAAACTTTATACAGGATCACCATGAGTCAAAAACCAACACTGTGGCATGCAGCATGAACAGCAAAGGGTCTCAAATCATGTTTCTTTTAAACAATCTTTGAATTTGGGGAGCCAAAAGAGAGGTCTGAAGGGGTAAGATTCAGACTGTAGAGTGGCTGGAGTGAGATTTCCCAGTGAAATTCTCATAGGTTAACACTTGCTGCCATTAAAGAATGACCACGTGTATTGTCATGGTGTGATGTTGTAGGATATGTGACTGCTAACTACAAGGTTGGTGGATCAAACCTACCAACAGCTCCTCAGAAATCCTATACATGGTTGTTATGAGTTATAACCAACTAGATGGCGCTTAACAACAGCAAAAGTTGCCAAAATTGTTGTTCTGACTTGGTATAAACTGAGGAGTGCAGAATTTATGTTTGTTTAATAAAGAATACTATTATTTTATAGTAATACTTTTTGACTTATCCTAATTAAAACCTGGTGTGGTACTGTATGGTAAGCACTGGGCTGCTAATAGAAAGGTTGGTGGGCCACAGCTTGGAAACCTACACAGGATTACTATGAGTTGGAACCAACTCTATGGCACTAAACAACAGCAGTAATATATATATATTTTATATGGCACTTTATATATATTTGAGGGTCAGTCAAAAAGTATTGCTACTAGAGTTCCGTTCCAGTTACTAGGAATATATATATATATATGAGTCCTGGTGTGGCACTGTGGGTTAACGTGCTGGACTGCAAAGTCGCCTTGAACCACGAGGTCACAGGTTCAAGCTCACCAGCTGCTCCTTGGAAACCCTATATAGAGTTGCTATGGGTCGGCACTGACTCAATGGCATGGCACTTAACAACTATATATGTGTGTGTGTGTGTACACACACGCACACACACAAGGGAACATAAAGAAGTTCATGAAAAGTTAAATTAAAAGATAATGATGTACCTTCTTTGTAAATGACACTAAAGGAGCCCTGATAGCCTAGGGGGTTTCTCGTTGGGCTGCTAATTGAAAAGTCAGAAGTTGGAGTTCTCCAGGTACTCTGCAGGAGAAAGATGAGGCTTTCCACTCCCATGTACAGGGTTGCTCTGAGTCAGACTTGATGGCACACAGCCAGTCAGTGATAATATTATAGAGTTAATGCAAAATGAGATGAACTGCATTTTAAAAACTTTAGCATGCTTTTACTATGTGGCATATTTTCTATAAAAAGAATATTCCACATATTCTGTGACAAATAAAATGAGTCAGCGAACTTAGTTCTTTCAACCATCTGCTGATTTTCCACATTGAAAAACTGGCTTTCACTAATTTTGCTTTAAATGGCTTATACTTCAAGTTTGATATTTGTTACATAATAAATGCTATAATAATAAATAGGGGAAGACAATATGCATCAAGGTAACATGAACACAATGTAAACCATCCGTAAACGGACCAGTACATTTCTTTGAATGCTTAGCAGAGGAGAGCTTGTTTCCAGAGCATGAGGGGGGCATTGGATATTTTGTGGAGAAGGATTGTTATTAAAAGTTTTTATATTTTATTGGTTGGAAAGCAAGGGTCATGAGAAGGACATGGGTCCTAGAGTCTAGACCTGGGTCTAAGTATAGATTCTGCCTTTACTGCCTGTGGTACCCTGGTCAACTCGCTCATCCTCTAGGAAGCTCATTTTCCACCTGTGTGGGGCACTGTGGCATAGTGGTGATGAGCATACACTCCAAGGTCAGATTGCCTGGGTTCAAATCCTGCCATATTAGTTGTATGCCCATGGACTCTGTCTTAATTTCTCACTCTGTAAAATGGCGGTAATCACAGTATACTCCATAAGGGGCAATCATGTGGATTGAGTGAGTTAATCTATGTAAAATAACTAGAATAATGTCTGCTACATAAAAAGTGCTCTACTGTTGCTATTATTATTGGGAAGGATGATTAATGGTTGTTGTAATGATAAGGGATTAGTGAGATCAAAGCCTGGTGCACAGTAGACCCTCAATACAAGGTAGTAGTCCTCCTTGCTGCTTTTGAAGTGTAGGTGAGTACAGAACTAGAAGTGAAGAGAAGGACATCCAGGTAATGTGACTGGTGTAAGCAAAGACAGGAGGTAGGAATGTGCAATGAATGTGTGGGCAAAGAAAAGAAAATAGTTTGGCTCAGATTCTTGTAAAACAGAAGATTAATTCTTTCTACTGATTTCTCAGCTTCCTGTGGACACTTGGAGTCCATTATAAAGGCCAATTTCATCCAACAAAACTCCATGGTCTTCTTTTGCATTTTCTTTGGATACAGGTCTCCCGAAGGGTCTGCACCCTTGCTATCCAAGAATGGGTCTCCAGGGAATGCTCTGCTTCCCCCTGGGACTCCTACTTGGCTCTGTGCTTCTGGTGACTTCTGCCCCAGCCATTCCTGAGCCCCAGGACTGCAGCAACAAGGAGCAACAGGTCACCGTCAGCCACACCTACAAGATTGATGTACCTAAGTCCGCCCTGGTCCAGGTGGAGGCTGAGCCTCAGTCCCTCAGTGATGATGGAACCTCACTCCTATCTCCAGAGGAGGCTGGCGAGGAACAGAACATCATCTTTAGGCACAACATCCGTCTTCAGACGCCGCAGAAGGACTGTGAATTGGTAGGCAGTCTCCAGGATCTACTGGCCCGAGTGAAGAAGCTGGAGGAAGAAATGGTAGCCATGAAGGAGCAGTGTAGTGTCCAGCGCTGCTGCCAAGGCACTGCTGGTGAGCTTGCTACCGAGTATTGATTGAACAAACATTTAATGAGCACCAGGTGTTCTACTGGCTGCATGAACGGGCTGAGAGTTCCCACTTCTCACTCTGGGTTTCCCTGGGGAGCTGTGTCCTGGCTATTAGTTTATTTATGCACTGGTATTGTCTCCATGAGGCATCTGGGAGCCTAAGCAGGGAGAAACCAGTAGTTTTTGAAGTGACTTTGAAGTGACTCTTGGGTCAAAGCTTCCAGATGAGACAGTCCCTAGCGGTCATTTTACCTGTGGTTCCAATCTCTACTCAAAGGGGATGGAGAGGAAAGATCAAGGATTTTGGAGGTAGAAGGCACCGAATTCAAATCTTAGTCACGACATTTTTTAGCTGTATGACTTTGGACAAATTCCTTAAAGTTTCCTAAACTGTTTAGAATGGTTATGAGCTCTACAGATAATGTTCATAAGCTTCCTGGCCCACAGAAGATATTCAGCAAATTGTAGCTGTCTTGTCAGTAATGTTGTAGTTGTTAAGTGCTGCCCAGTTGTTTCATAGCGACCCTGTACAGGGTTTCTGAGAAGTGGTTGGTGGGTCTGAACAGCTGACCTTGCAGTTAGCAGTCCAGTGCTCACTCTACAGTGCTGCACCAGGGCTCCTTATCAGTAATAAAATGATACAATTGGATTTTACAACTATAATGTAATGGTCCACCAACTCCCTAAAAAAAAACCCAGTACAAAACAAACTATTCAGGTTGATGCAAATTAAAATGGGTGGTACTTTAGCATAGATTTTTACATCTGAAGGAATTGCTATTTATAGGAGAATCAGACATGGATCTAGGCCCTGTGGTCCCTACTACAAATAAAACAGTGTGGGCAATGTCTTCGGGGAGATTTGGATGTGTTCTTAGGAAGGAAAGGAGGTGTGCTAAGAAGCCAAACTGGGGCTGAGAAGAGGACTGATGTACTGATGCCGTCAACTCTTCTTGTATAGGGTCAAAGAGGGAAGCTAGGTTAATTTACTCCCACCCCTTAATTGAGATTGAACTGGGATATTTTGTAGCTTCTACAGGTCAATCTAAGGAGCTCTGGTAGCGTAGTGGTTACGAATCGGGCTGCGAACCTTAAGGTCAGCGGTTCGAAACTACCAGCCGCTCCGCGGGAGAAAGATGAGGCTTTCTACTCCCGTAAAGATTTACACCCTCGGAAACCCTGTACAGGGTCGCTATGGGTCGGACCCGACTCGATGGCACTTAACAACAACAACAGGTCAGTCTGAACCCACATTCCCAGATTCAGTTTGGGCTCGTTTCACAGGACGCAGACCTTCTTGGTCCAGCCCCATCCTGCTAGGATAAGCACTAACTCTGGCCCAGCCCTGATCCCACCTTCCTGCTCTATCCCTAAGTGTAAATTGACAAGCTGATATCCAAGCTGGGGCAGGTAAGGTAGACTACTCCTGGTGTGGCGCTGTGGATTAATGAGCTAGACTGTTGGTTTGAACCGCTCGGCAGTTCAAGCTTACTTGGAAATTCTATGGGTCGGGACCAACACTTAACAACAAATATTTACAGGCACTTAGAGAGAAAGGAACTGGAATTCCCATGACTTTTGGGCTGAGAAGGGAAAGGGAAGAAAGTTGGTCAGGGTAGCTTTTCAGGCAGAGACAGGAGGAAAAGTTTGTAACTATCACAGGTCACAGAATCTGACCAGGCTGGAAAGGGGGGTCACCCATCTCCCTTGCTCTTCCAGGCCTCCCAGGAAGGCGGTCTCAGATCACGACCCTCTCAGGCCTCACTCAGCCTACTGTCTTTCCTTTCCCTCCCCAGATTTGAGCCGTCACTGCAGCGGCCACGGCACCTTTTCCCCAGAGACCTGCCGCTGCCACTGTGAGCAGGGATGGGAGGGTGCGGAGTGCGAGCGACCCACCTGCCCCGGGGCCTGCAGTGGCCACGGGCTCTGTGTGGACGGGCGCTGCCTTTGTGACGAGCCCTACATGGAGCCCGACTGCGCCTACCGCCCCTGCCCGGAGAATTGCAGCGGGAACGGCGTGTGCGTGCGTGGCGTCTGCCAGTGCCACGAGGACTTCACCTCTGAGGACTGCAGCGAGCAGCGATGTCCGGGCGACTGCAGCGGCCACGGCTTCTGCGACACCGGGGAGTGTTATTGCGAGGAAGGCTTCACTGGTCTGGACTGCTCCCAGGGTGAGAGAGGAGATGCATCAAGTCCTCCTGAGTCCTCTCCCTGCATCCCTGGGCTCTATCGAACTTTCAGTCAACAATTACAGAAAGTCAGGATAGCAACCTTTAACCTACCTCCGAATGCCCTGGAGGGCTTATTAAAACACATTGCTGGGTCTTCACCCTAGAGCTTCTGATTCTGCACATCTGTCGTGCAGTCCAAGAATTAGCATTTTTAACAAGTTTCCAACTGCTTGCCTCTTTTTTACTATGAACACATGGAATGCTTCACTTTGATAAGGAGTGCGTGTAAGGATTGGTTTTATCCGGTGGGATAGATGAATCATGGTGTTATGCCATCCCCCCATTGGACTTCCTCATACCACACCATACAGAATTCTTAGTAATGTTTACTATCAGTTTGAATCACAGAATGCTAAGCGATATAGTTGTAAGTTGCTTAAGTGTAGTACTTCTTAGATTATATGAATACTTATATAATTATTCTGTAAAATCTTTCTACATTGAATTGCAACATTATTAGTTATATTTTTAGTAACTGAGCATATGCCTTTTTGGAATTTTCTTGTTCTTGCAGTTACTATTTCATTCTCAAAAACGTTACTGATATAGATTCACAAATACTAATTACCACAATATTGTGGCTAAAACGCCAGAAAATTTGACAAAATTAATGACTATAAAAAACAGCTGGCATCAACAAAAACAACAGCCTGTTCTTGTATACAAGCAGATGAAACCATGTGATTTCTGAAGCATCGTTAGGTGATAATGACATCTTGGACCTGAGTCGTCCCTTAGGTTAAAAAGTAAATTAGCACAGGATTTTAGCCTTGCAGGTATACTGATATATATGTACATGTATATATACACAAACTGGGGACTTTAAAATTTTTTAATGATAATTTTATCTGAAATACTGCACAAACATTTTATTGACAATCATTTTGATGTCACCCCCTCAGACAGTGTTACCTGCTATGGCCTGCCTGCTCCTACCCCTCCCCCCAAAAAAATCACAACAACAACAAAAAAAAACCATGCTGTCCTTCTCCAGTGTTTGGTCCCTCCTGATAATATGTCTGAAGTATGAGAGACAAAGTCTGGCCATCCTGGCTTCCAAGGAGCACTCTGGCTTCACTTCTTCCAACACAGATTTGTTTGTTCTTTTGGCAGCCCATGGCACTTTCAATATTCTCCTCCAACACCATTACTTGGATGGATCAATTTTTCTATGTTCTTCCTTATTCACTGTCCAACTTTCTCATGCAAATAAAGTTATTGAAAATACCATGGCTTCAGTCAGGTGCACCTTTGTCCTCAAACTGACATCTTTGCTCTTCAACACTTTAAACTTCAACATGACTGCTCATCAATACTGCCATCATAGTTTTATGTATATAACAAACCAGTTGTCATATTCTGACTCATGGAGCCCCCATGTATGCAAGAGTAGTGTTCATACAATTTTAAATGGTGGGTTTTCATAAATAGATCAGTAGGATTTTCTTCTGAGTCACTTTGGGGTAGACTCAAACTGCCAACCTTTTGGCTAGCAAGCTAGTCATTTGCACCACCCTGGGACTAGTAGGGTTATGCAATATATACTCATAGTTTCTGAATATATACTCACTTCTTTCTGCAGTGATCTCCCCCCAGGGCCTGCAACTGCTCAGAAGCACAGAGGAGTCTCTGCTGGTGAGCTGGGAACCCTCCAGTGATGTGGACCACTACATCCTCAGCTATTACCCCATGGGGAAGGAACTTTCTGGGAAGGAGATCCAAGTGCCCAAGGAGCAGAACAGCTATGAGATCCATGGTTTGCTACCTGGAACCAAGTACATAGTCACCCTGCGCAATGTGAAGAAAGAGATTTCCAGCAGCCCACAGCATCTACTTGCCACTACTGGTAAGGATGTAGCCAGTTGTCCACATTTCCCAGGAGAGGTCCTATTTTAAACATTTTCTCCCGTTGTTCCATCAATACACTTGTAATTCTACTAGCCAGACTGGAGTTCTGATGTGGCGCTGTTGGTTAATGAGCTGGACTGGAAAGTCAGTTTGAACCACAAGGTTGGCGGTTCAAGCTCACCAGCTACTCCTAGGACATCTTTTACAGGGTCGCTATGGGTTGGAACTGACTAGACGGCACGTAACAACAATGACAAGTTGTCAGGCTATTGCCTTGATTTGTGGTTTGAAAAACATAACTCCTGTGATCCGAATTCCAGAGAGTAGTCCTAGTTCTCTGTCCTCTCAGAACCAATGATGGCAGCCTGCTGGATTGTGGCTGAAGGGGTCCTCTTTCTCCTTCTGAGATTAGCAAAGACTATTGCCTTGTACCCTAGACAAGTAGACCCTCACTGAGCCTCTGAGACCATTCAATGGGTAGGGATTACTGGGATGTGGAGTTGAAACAGGAAGTGCACTGAAGCTACCTGCTTGTCTGTGTTGGTGGTGGGACTAGGGTAGATGGAGTAAGGATGGGTCAGTGTTGGAAAGGTCTATGAAAGACATGGGGTCCTAGGGTCACAGCCTGTGATTACTTCTGTCAAGCTCTCTAGACAAAGAGCTCAGGAATACTTCATGGTTGAGCAAGTTGGATTTATTGCTCATTACATCTAGAGAGCATGTACACCATGGGGAATCATGTGGTATCTCAATAAGACAACGGAAAGAAAGAATGTGAGATAGCACTTGGGCATATAGATGATTTTGACTTTTCGTGTGGTGCTGTAGGGTTGGCATTGGACTGTGAACTACAAGGTCAGCAGTTCAAACCCACCAGCTGCTCCTCGGAAACCCTGTGTAGGGCCGCTATGAGTCAGAATCAATTTGATGGCACTTAACAACACCATCAACATAAGGAAGCAGAGATTGCTTTAGATTGGATGTGGGGGTAGGGAGAAGTGAGGGTAATTTTATGGTTGTCTATCTGGTAGCGTAGTGGATACGAGTTGGGCTGCTAACCTCAAGGTCCAGTAGTTTGAAACCACCAGCTGTTCTGAAAGAGAAAGAGGAGGCTTTCTGCTACCATAAAGATTTACAGCCTCAGAAATCCTATGCGGGGTTGCTATGAGTTGGAGCCGATTCCATGGCACACCACTACCACCATCTTAATATGATTTAATTCAACTGTGTGGAGTCCTGGTATGGCACTGTGGGTTTGCGCTGTACTGCAAAGTTGATTTGAACTACAAGATCGGTGGTTCAAGCTCACCAGCTGCTCCTTGGAAATACTATACAGGGTTGCTATGAGTCAGAACTGACTTGACAGCACTTAACAACAATCTGACTGTGTAGATCATGTCATTTCAAAGAATGGGTTTTCCAGAACACTTAATTGTGCTCATGAGGAATCTGTACATAGACCAACAGGCAAGTCGTTCAAACAGAACAAGAAAACACTGAATGATTTAAAATCAGGAAAGATGTGCACCAGTGTTATATCCTTTTACCATACTTATTCAATCTGTATGCTGGATTATATGAAAAAGAACATGGCATTAGGATCGGAGGAAGACTCTTGAACAACCTGTGATATGCAGATGATATAATCTTGCTGGCTGTAAGTGAAAAGGACTTAAAATATTTGCTGATGAAGATCAAAGATTACAGCCTTCAGTACAGTTGCACCTCAATGTTAAGAAAAGTCCTCACAATTGAGTCAACAAATAACATCATGATAAATTAAGAAAAGGAAAGATTGAAGTTATCAAAGATTTCATTTTGCATGGACTCACAATCAATACTCATGGAAGCAGCAGTCAAGAATTCAAACCATATATTGCACCAGGCAAATCTGCTGCAAAATACTTCTTTAATGTGTTCAAGAGCAACAATGTCAGTTTGAGGTCTAAGATGCACCTGACCCAAGCCATGGTATTTCAGTTGCCTCATATGCTTGAATAAGGCAGACCACAGAAGAATTGATACATTTGGATTGTGATGTTGGAGAAGAATATTAAAAGTAATATGGACTGTGAGAAGAACAAACAAATCTGTGTTCCGTAGAAGCCAGGATGGTAAGCATTCATCTCTCCTACTTTGGACATGTCATCAGGAGTCCCTGGAGAAGTACATCATGCTTGGTAAATTGGAAGGTCAGTGAAAAGGAGGAAGACCTCTAATGAGATGGATTGGCACAGTGGCAGCAGCAGTGGGCTCAAGTGTAACAACAATTGTGAGGATGGTGCAGGACAGGGTGGTGTTTCTTTTGGTTGTACATAGGGTTGGAACTGACTCTACAGCTTCTAACAACAACATCTTAATGGGTGGCACAAACAGTTAAGTACTCGAATAGTAGTTGAAATGTTGGCATTTCAAACCCACCTAGAGGTGCCTCAGGAGACAGCCTTGATGACCTGCTTCTGAAAGACCATAGCTTGGAAAACTCTATGAATCAGTTTTACTCGACACATATGGGTTGCCATGAGTTGGAAGACTTGACAGCAACTAATAACAACATCTTCATGACTCTAACTGAGAAAGAGGGAGACGAGCGAGTCTAACGCTGTAATTGGAAAGAAGCAGCAGCTACAGTACTCAGGATGGGGGATGCTTAGTCACTTTTGTGGTTTGGACAATGTTCATATTGTTTTCTGTGTTCACACATGATTACAGAGTGGTCTTGTTTTTGTCTTGCTCCATTAGGGTCACAGACTGGCCCTGTCTGCTGTTGATGTTCTGTGAAATCATCTATATTCAACAGGAGGACATCCAGGCTTAGCTGTGAGCACCAGGCCAGCTGCTTTCATTTTTTTCACCTTTTTGCCTATTGTTGCAGACAAGACAGTGCCAAGCATGCCCCTGGAAATGATAGAGTTATCTGTTCTAGAACTCTTAGTAACCTCTCTTGGCTTCTTGCTCCAGGGACTTGTAAATTCCTACAACTGTGAAGTTTGCCTTTTTGTCTAATTTGAATCAAGTTAAATTCACTCTTATTTGCTCCTTAGGGGACTCTCAGATTGAGAGACATCAAATTTTGAACATTTTTTAGTAAGTCTCTGTCTTTCCTTTTGGTGAATTGTTCTTAGTTCTTTTAAGCTCTGTAGGACTCCTTCTATAATTCATGAGTCACTTTCATTACTCACCTCTTGACCTGTTTTGAGTCTCTTAAGGAGTGCCCACCTTCACAAGGAGACTAAAGACAGGAACTAAGACTGGCAGGTAGAAGCCAATAAGTGTGAGGAAATGCTTCAGAGAAAAGGCTCCATGAGCTTCCTTATCCACAAGGGACTGGATCAGAAACTCTCAGAGATGTAGAGACCTTGGAATCTCTGCACTTACCCCTTGCCTGATGCACAATTCTCTGAGCCACATCTTTGAAAACTGTCAGTCTGGCTGGGGGCATCATAAAACAGGGGAAGGTGAGGCTGTGACCCAGACTGGGAGGGAGACTGAAAATCTGGGTGACTTGTATTCCCCTTTCCAAACTTCAAGGACTTGGACATAGCTGTTGGAATTAAAAGAACTCCAGAGAGAGCCCAGTCTCTCCCTCTTCCTTGCAAAACTTCTTGCCTCAACACAGAGTTATTTCTTTATACTAAGGAGCTCTGGTAGCGTAGTGGTTACGAATCGGGCTGCGAACCTTAAGGTCAGCGGTTCGAAACTACCAGCTGCACCATGAGAGAAAGATGAGGCTTTCTACTCCCGTAAAGATTTACACCCTTGGAAACCCTATATAGGGTCACTATGGGTCGGAACCGACTTGATGGCACTTAACAACAACAACAACATTCATTATAATTTCAGTTTTGATTTGTTTTATTTTGAATGAGAAACTCTAGGGAGGTGCAAAACACTTCTCTATTAATACATTACTTTGAAATAATACTCCAGTAACTCTCCTCCTTCACAGGAAGGATATTTTAGGCAGCGTGAAAATACCATGTACCTGGTTGTTGTTGTTGTTAAGTGCCATCAAGTCGGTTCTGACCCATAGCAACCCTATATAGGGTTTCCGAGGAGCAGCTGGTAAGCTTGAACCACCAACCTTGCAGTTCAAACAGCTTTGCAGTCTGATGCATTAACCCACAACACCACACCAGGACTCCAGGTACCTGATATAAGTGGCAAAATTTGGTAGAAGGTGCAGAAAGGATGCTCAGAAGGACCAAGTTAAAATTCACCCACCTTCTAGCTTTGTCTAGGGTTAATCCTTACAGGAGAATTTGAGAAGTGAAGGCTTTGTTTTGGGAGGCTGAGGAAGGAATTGACTATATTATCAGATAATATTCTAGAAAAATTGAAATGTAGTTCCCAAACTTCACGTGGTGGGGCCTGAACTACTCTCTTTGGGGCTGAGCCTGTGAGGGCAGGCATTATATAATTAAAGGGTGAATATTCTGTTTGGTGCAATTTAGACTAAGTGGTTTGGATGGCTGGACTTGGCCCACATCAGTGAGATGGAATGGGATGAAGGACTGGGGCTCACTTGGAAGAGAACTTGTCTTCAAGGGACAATTTGAAAAACAACAGATTATTTGCTACTTCGGTAGCTCCAAGACTCTGGTTTGAGATTGAAGCCAGTTTTCAATGTGTCAAGTTGCGGAGCTGACATAGTAGCCAGCTGTCTATCAGAACCTCTCTTCTTACTCCTTACTCTTCCATATCTAATCCCTGCCCTAGACCTTGCTGTGGTTGGCACTGCTTGGGTGACAGATGAGACGGAGCATTCCCTGGATGTGGAGTGGGAGAACCCCCCAACTGAGGTTGATTATTACAAGCTACGGTATGGCCCCTTGACAGGGCAGGAGGTGGCTGAGGTCACCGTGCCCAAGAGTAGTGACCCCAAGAGCCGATATGACATCACAGGTAAGAGCCCAACACTGGGGTTATGAAGTGTTCACTGCAGATGCTAAGGTGGGGATTGTGCGAGCAAAGGGGACATTGCTTAAATGTGTCATAGAGGGTCCTGGTCCCTAGGAATCACACTTGAACCCTTAGCCCTGAAACTTCCAGACATGAACCCATTCTGGAGACACAGATTCTGCCCCCACTTCCCAAAGCTGACTCCGGAGTCTCAGATCACCCTTGTTAAAAGATGACACATATCTGACATGGTCTTCTGGTCAGCTGACCCTCTTAAGGACCCTAGTTATATATCAGAGAGATTTGATGGCCTATAGAAATTTCTTTTGGAAGGATCTCTGTGTGTATATGTGTGTATGCTTGTATGAGAGAAGAGGGAGGGAGGGAGAGAGGGAGAAGATAGAAGATGGAAAGAGAGACTGGCTTGTTCAGCACTATGCACTGCAATGAGTCCTTTTAGGAGGTTTGGGGTAGTAAGGGTCCCTGACCCAGAGGACTGGACAAATGCTGTAGAGAGCTGGAAATTAGATGGTTGCTAAGGAAATGGGGCCATGCAGAAGGGATCAAGTTTTGTGATGCCTGAGGCTTAAACCATTTTCATGGTCTTCTTTGAAAAAAGTAATACACAATTATGAATACCAGATTAGGTAAGGCCCTTTGAAGGGGCCCAGGCAAGTGAGGAGCCCTGAGGCTGTTTGGCTTCATGGTAAATCCTCCCGGCCCTGTTGTACTGTGGGTTTCCTGAGTTCAGTCTTGAGAGGACTCCCTAGGACTCCCATGTGTGTGAAGTGGGGTGGGAATGGAGGATGAGTGTGTACTGTACATACAAGGCCCTTTGCCTGTGACTAACTACAGGAGTCTGAATGTTTATGTCATGAGGCATAACCATTCAATTGCTTCTTCAGGGAAATAACTAAAACTAAAACAAAAAAAAAAAAAAAAAAAAAAAAAAACTAGGTTAGTTATTACAACGAGAAGGGAAGAAACATTTGAGGGAAAAATATTGTTAGGAGCAGAAAAAGCTTTTGAGGCCATATATAAAGTTGGGGGAAAGTGCTAGGGGCCCCAACAGAGGAATAAAACCCCCATCAACTTCATCTCATCAGTCCCTAGCCTAGAAGCCTGCTGGATGATGCCTCCCAGTCCACTGGCCCTGGGGCTCTTTATCTGCCTTTAGGTGGAAGATAGTCTTTGGGTGAGAAGTGTTGGCCCTCACCTGCCGTCACAAGAGAAATCACAGGGGAGAAAAGTGGGAGTCCTAGCCTGCACTCACAGTCTGCTGTGGCTTCACATTTTCAGGTCTGGATCCTGGGACCGAGTATAAGATCACTGTTGTTCCCATGAGAGGGGACCTGGAGGGCAAACCGATTCTCCTGAATGGCAGGACAGGTGAGCACTATGAAGAAATACTATGAAAGTGTAATTGGTATTTTCCTTGAGTGCTTCTTCTCTAAATGCAAATTCTGTGCATTGAGAGATTCTATCCCTTTGTATACTGACATCTGTTTTGAGGGCCAGAGGTGGGAGAACCAATTTCTGTTTCTTGTCATCGACAATTTCTTCCAGGGTCTTGGAGTTAAGGAAAAAGACCATTTCTCATTCACTTTTCTTTTTTAAAAAACATTTTATTGTGAATTGAGTGAGAGTTTACAGACAAGATCATCAGTTTTACCCTCAGCAAATCATATACTTTGTTTCAGCTCAATGATTGCAATCCCCTCCATGGAACAGCAGTTATCCCGCTCCCTCCCTGTAGTTCCTATTTTATTCCACCCACCTTCCCATCCCTTCTCACTTTTGTCCTTTGATTCCTGTGGCCCCTCTGGTTTGGAATGATTTACAGTTCCATTATTCACAGTGAGCATACCTTACTAGTGTTGCTATTCCTCCTATAGACCTATCTACTGCTTTTGCTTGCTTGAGGAGGCAGAGTGGTTAAACCAGACTGCTAACTGAAAGGTTAGAGGTTCAAACCCACCAGCCACTCCATGGGAGAAAGATGTGGCAGACAGCTTCCATAAAAATTTACAGTCCTGGTGTGGCACTATGGGTTAATGCATGGGACTGCAAGGCCAGTTTGAATCACAAGGTCAGCAGTTCAAGCTCACCAGCTGCATCTCAGAAACCCTAAACAGGGCTCACAATGGGTCGGAACTGACTTGACGGCACTCAACAACAACAATAACAGGGCACTTCTACTTTGTCCCATAAGTTGGATTCAGCTCAACAGGAGTGGGTTCTGCTTACTTTAATAGCTTGGATTGCTGGATTGTTTCTAAGGCATTTTATTATCTTGGAGTCAGGCACAAAGCTCTATATCACGTAAACACAGGTTAGCTATACTTTTTTTTGCTTCTTGTCACTCCTGTGTTTTTTCCTGGTAAGGCTGGGAGTCAACTTCATGTCAAAAGATATGAAAAATTCTTACCTGATATATAGTGATATACTTGGCATCTGTGGATTGATAAACTATATAATGACAAAATGTTGTAAATCTGTAACATTTAATAATAAATTCATAATTTATTAATCAGAACAGAATTTGAACAAAAATTGTAGGCATAGACATTGACATGATATTTAATTTTTTGTTTATGAACAACATTGAATTGTAGGCCTCTTGCAATACTTGTGTACTTCTGCCCACCCCAAGTTGGAACCTGCAGATGTAGACCTGATGACTTAGAATGGAATGCCCTTAGGTGGAAGCTAATCCTTGGTGACTAACAAAGAAAGGTTTTTCAGTAAAAAAAAAAAAAAAAAAAACTTTTTAGAAAGTTAAAGGTCTTTTCAATTAGTCCTGGCAGTAGCTGTTTGGGATGGTGAGGGCAATAGCAGTATGGTGCTAAATCGAATGTACCATTTCAGCTACCTAATACATTGCATATCTTAAATATGAAAGTGTTACAGTTGGCCAGTCACAAAGGATAGAGACATAATTTAATGTAAACACAATACAACGAGGACTGTGCAGCCGGCCTCAATCGAGAACATTCTAATGAACTAGAAAATAGTAAGTACTTCCTTGCTTCTGGTGCTTCTCTCTTTCATTGTTGTTAAGTGTCACCGAGTCGGGTCTGACTCCTAGTGATCCTGTGTAGGGTTTCCGAGGAGCAGCTGGTGAGTTTTTCTCTTTAGCTGTGACTTAGTTGAGAGCTGACTACATGGCAGGCATTATACTAAATAAATACCTTGCATGAGTTATTTCACAGGAATCCTTTGAATTAGAAACTATGATCATTTCTATTTCACATATAAGAAAACTGAGACTTAAAGAAGGTGAGCTGAGGATCATCCAGTCAGGAACTGGCATATACCCATTATGTCTGTGCCTAAGCTGCCTCCCATTCTTACCCTCCCATTCGTTCTGTTTTTCTTTTTTTTTTTCTTTCTAATAGACTATTTTCTAAGGAGTTCTGATACCATAGTGGTTAGGCTGCTAACCTCAAGGTGAGCAATTCGAAACAACCAGTCATTCTGCAGGAGAAAGATGAGGCTTTCCATTCCCGTAAAGATTCAAAGCCTTGGAAACCCTACGCAGGGTGGCTATGAGTCGGAACCAACCCCACGGTATACCACCACCACCATTTAATTCCTAACTAAAGAAGTTCTTTGCCTCCTCATTGCCATAGGGTAGTGCTGTATAATCCTTTTTTATCTTGGTCTCAGTTGGACCTGTCCAACCTGGACCATTGTTGGACTTTCACTACTTTCCTACTGGAAGACTGACCGTTCCTGTGGTTTCCTAACCAGGAAGGCCTAGCTCTCTCTACACAGTGGGTTTGTTCATGCTGTTGCTCTAGGCTAGAAAGCCCTCCAGTGTTATCTCTGCTTTTGTTAGTTACCATCAGCCAACTCCAACTCTTGTTGACCTTACATCTAGCAGAAGGAATTGTTGCCAGATCCTGTACTAGCTTCACAATTGTTGTTGTGGCTGTTGTGTCATTCCCTCTCATTGGAGGTTTCCCTCGTTTTTGCTGACCCTCTACTTTACCAAGCATGATGTTCCTTTCTAGTCACTGGTCTTTCCTGATGACATGTCTAAAATAAGTGAGACCAAGCTTACCATGCTCACTTCTGGTATCTCTGCTATCAATAAATGCCCTTCAGCACACATTTGTCGCAGAGTACTGGAGAGTATACTAGAGACATGGTCTCTTTACAAACTTTCACAGACGATAAATCATGGCTCCTGCCCTTCAGTGACTCACAGTGAGAGTATCACCTGTCCTTCCAGTCTCGGCTCAAACCTTAGCTTCTTCACTGAAGCCTTCTGTAATCACATTAATACCACCCGTCTTTGCCTCTGAGTTGCTAGAGCATTTAATCACATATGGCCTTGATATGCTATTTAACCTTTCAAGCGTATTATCCCAACTAGAATGAGAACATTCAAGAGGTGTTTTTATGTTCAATTATATCCTAAAAAGAACTCTGGTAGCATAGTGGATTATGAGTTGAGCTGCTAACTGAAAGGTCTGAAATTTGAATCTACCAGCTGCTCTGTGGGAGAATGATGAGGCTTTCTGTTCCTGTAAAGATTTATAGCCTCGGAAACCCTATACAGGGTCCACTATGACTCAGAACTGACTCCACGGCACATAGTCACCACCACCAAATAGCCTAAAAGGAGTCCCGGTGTGTCACTGTAGGACTGGACTGTTAACTGCAAGGCCAGTGGTTCATATCCACCAGTGTTCCTTGGAAACCTTTTACAGGATTGCTATGACTCGGAACCAACTTGACAGAACTTCACAACATCATGTATTCTAAAAGTAGTAAGGGATATGTCATTGGATTACAAATAAATTTCTATAAAGTGTCTTACCAACATTAACCAAAAAAAAGAGACAGAAGGAAAGAACATTATTTCTAAGGTCAGAAAACTCAAACCTGGCTAAACTGTTAATTAATTTGTGGAAAAAAAGAATTTCTGTTTTCTGAAAACATTTTTGCATTCCACAAGATGGAAACAGACACTGGAATTCAAGAACAGCATAAGTATGTGCAGGGAGAAAATGACACAGTCCAGGTATTTTCCATTTAACAAGTCAACCAGTGGAACTAATACCACAGAAAGGGAAAGGTTGATTGAAAACCCTCACCCTGTTAACACACTCAGTGCACTGAACCATCTTCCAGAAAGACAAAGCTTCCAAGGCAGGTCAGCTTTCAGAGCAGCAAACACAAGTCAGGTTAGTATCGAAAGGTGGAAATGCTCTTGGGCTTCTCCATCAGACCCTTAAAACCACACTTCACATCAAATGACAAGAGAGGCAAGTCACCACCCAAGGAGTAATGATGTAATTTTTTTCTCACTTTCTCCATCTGCAAAATGAAAGACTAGACTAAATTATTTGAAAGCCCCTTTTCTTGCCTTTTAAATGATTATGATTAAAAAATAATAATATATATAATTCATGCTTTTCCAACGTGAGTGGGAAATAGATTTACTTACTTACTTTGAATTGCATAGGCTTTCATGCACGTCAGAGTACAACAAGGTAATATACCTGCTTGTCAATCATTTTCTCAGACCTTTTCCCACTTATTGCTTGTCTTATAAACCTGCTCCATTTTTATTGCTTTTTGGACATGGTATTCCATTTGGAAGGACCCAGCCCCTAAAACTTTCCTTCTCAAACTCTCCATGTTCCAGGATGAACTCCTGCAACATCCAGACTCCTGTCTCCCACGAAGCTGTCCGGTGATTGAGTAATCATGATGGCTCCCATTGGAGTACTTACTGTATTAGCTACTGTGGAACTTCGTAAGCTAGCTCTCTGATCCTTATCAGAGCATTGCAAGCAGTATCTTCTCCATTTTACAGACAAGAAAACAGAAGCTTACAGAGGTTAGGAGACTCAGGGTAAGGGAACCAGTTAGTGGATAGCTGAGCTGGCATATGAACTCAGGCTTGCTTGAGACCTCTAGCAAAGCTAGAGGACCCCTGGAAGAGGGGTTGATCTCTCTGAACACATTTTCTATAAATGGTGCCTTTTGGCCAATTTTATTGCTACAATGAAAAGAAAATGGAGGAGCCCTATGAGAGCAGGACCAGAATCTATGTAAATGCTGTAGCCAGAAGGCACCTCTTTTCCACGAATTCACCTTCTAATCAGAGGCCTTTGCCCTATTCCTCATATCTGCCTCCCAGCCTACATCTCCATAGATTTTAGACCCTGACTACCCTTTTCCATTATGCCATCAGGGTGACTCATGGGGAGTTTTGTGAATGGAGAAAGCTGATCCTAAAACCTGTGGTCATGTGTTCCTATGTGTGAGGATAGCCTTGTGGTCAAATGGAACATACATTTTGGTGTAAATAGACTCTTGATATGGATAAAAAAAAAGAGGAAGACCCACAAGAGATGGTGTGTGGCAGCAGC